GCTTCACAACTCGGTGTAGTAGACGAAAACAGTGGCTCCATTCTAATGTGTCATTGAATGTGTTTGTTTTAACTCATATGCCCTAAGTGAGCTTTCTTTTCAAAATCACTCTTTTAGATCGTTCTGGATTTCAGAGGCAGTATGAGCATACTTCACGCTGCTCTTATTTCCTTCTCCAAAGTTGTTGTAAACCATCCTTTTACCATGGCATCACAACACATCCAGGACATATACTGAGTGGAATCGTTTTCTGGTTCTCAATGGACCCATCAACAAAACCAACTTTCTTCTTGGCAAAGAGAAAGTTCATTATCTCTTTAGACCAATCTGCATAGTTGTTGTCAGTAAGGGTTTCATTAGCATGAATCTATTTGGGGTAATCAGATGCATGGATATAGAATGGGGAATTCACATCAAGGATGCCTTCATTTATTTTTTGGTTGGAACTTTCAACAGCACAAGTCATAAGTTGATCGGCTAGGGTTTGGTATTTTTGGTTAGAACCTCTCTTGATACCATATGGAAATTGATAGCAAAAGATTCAACTGTCCCATTGACCACAAAAGGTTTAAATACAAGCAAAAGAATAAAAACGAAAGGTCTTACACTTATACCACAAGATACGAAAATAATAATAAATTATTGTTTAAAAATCCAATAAACTGTTGCCGTTCAAAGTGAAAATTTTTTGACGTTCAAAAACTTTCCTCACTTACTTTTATTGGCAACACAATTTGGATGGGTGCATCATAAACTTGTACCTTTATGCATTAAGAAAATACACATGGGTGGTAGTAATTGGTTATGGGTTGGGAACAATTTGGTAGGCAAAGATGGTACCACAACCCACCCTTAGACAAATATTGGTAAAAATGTTAAATGGTTATGTGATGCCGACACACTTTTTTGATAGGCAAAAATATCAACACATCCGTTTAGCCTACACTACTAGAAAATAGAGCAATAGCGACAAAATTTTAGCGACGGAAAAAATCCATCTGAAAAAATGACGGTCTACCGCCGGAGTTCCGACAGAAGAGTCATTAGAATATTAGAGACATTTATTGCGATGGTTTGGCAACAGAATAAAATATGTCGGTAATCCGTTATAACTTCCGACGGTTTACCGACGGAAATCAACAAGTTTAAAATTCCTTCGGTAATCGGTTGGTAAAATTAAAATTTTATATTTTAATTATAAGGGCAATTCGGTAAAATCAACCAAGGGGTATTTCCGAGGGATGAGTTGTGCTGCATCATATCACTTAACCTAAATCGCTCCCCAGAACTGTGAACGAAGGCCGACAACACGAAGAATCGCCTCCAGGCTCTCTCTCTCTCTCTCTCTCTCTCTCTCTCTCTCTCTCTCTCTCTCTCTCCTCGCTGCCCTCGACGGAGCTGAAGGCGTCAACGCTCCGACTAGAGTTCTTTGAGTAGTGCTTAATTCTCTTTGCATAGCTTACAACACAGGTGCAATTTTTATACCTAAATTCGTATCGTCCTTTCTGATCGAAATTAATGAGATGAATGTTAGTGTAATTGATGTAATCGATCGGAATTGGGTTGGGGTGCAAGGGAGATTTGGATTCACAAGGTTTTCATTTCAAATAGATGTTTAGTACTCACGATCTGAGTCTCCTTCCCATATTCTAGTATCGATAAAGAAAAGTTTTGGTTCATGATTTTAAAGCTCCAGTCTGGTACGTAAAGACCATGCAACAAAGACATGTATATATAATACACCTGCAAAAACAAACAACCTGGAAAAATAAGAAAATAAATAGTTAGCATTTCATCATGATAAAAGCATTAGGTTTGGTGTTTTGACATACCGCTGAATGTAGTATTTCTTTCCAAATGTTATGGCTGAATTGACTTCATTATTGTTAACACACCATATCTCGGTGGTTACTGAAGCCAACAGATATCCAATTGAAATCCACTGTATAGTTATATCAAGGTTGCAAAAATCGCTCGACGGTAGCTCGACGGTCGACTGGTGTTAAGGGATTAATCGGTCTTGGCGGAGATTAATCGGGGACCATAGATTATTAATAAAATATTAAAATTAATTAAATATTAATATATCTTAAGAAAAACAAGTACTTCAAAATTAGAAAATAAGAAAATTTGTAATTTGAAAATTTGAAAATACAAAAATATGAACATTTCGGTATAATATTTGAAATTTTGAAAATTTGAAAATTTGAAAATTTTGGAGTAAAAAAAAAAAGTTGATTTTTTGAATTTTTTTTTTAAATTTTTTTTACCTTTTTTGACTTTTTTTTGACTTTTTTCGACTTTTTTTTACTTTTGTTGACTTTTGTTGACCGATTAATCCCGCCAAGGCCGATTAATCCCGCCAAAGCCGATTAATCATAAATTTCCGATTAATGCCCTAATCCTCAACGGTTGGAGAACGTCAAACGATTAATCCACGATTAATCGCCGATTAATCCTGATTTCTGCAACCATGAGTTATATTATGAATGATACATATGATTTTCATTGACATCCAAAGGAAGTTCTTGCATAGATATATTTGAAGCTGTAAAATTTTGATATAGTCTTATAGATAAGTACTAACATAGTTTACACTACAAGAATAAAGTCATATGCAGACGACACCTATCCAGACGACACATGTCGTTGGCAAAAGTCAACCTATACCGACGATATGTCGTCGGTATAGCGTTTTAAAACATTGACCATCTGCCTTTGACCAGAAGAGCTATGCCGACGACAAGTCGTCGGTATAGACTCGGTGGGAAACGTTAAAATATTGGCGGTATATCGAAAATCTTTACCGACGACATGTCGTCTGGAAAAGGAACTAAAAAAATATTTTCGATTTATTTTAACTCCTTGTAGCAGAAAGTTAAGACGCCGTCGTTTTTGTCATCCTATGCCGACGACATGTCGTCGGTATAGGGTGATTAAAAATTAATTTCGTTTTATTTTTTATCCGTGTTGCAGAAACTGAAAACAATGTCGTTTCGTCAGGCTATACCGACGACATGTCGTCTGGAAAAGGTGGGACTGATCCGCGTGAAATCCCTTTTTTTATTTTATTTTACTTTTTAATGACATGAAGTAAAACGAAGACGTTTTCGTTTACCTATACCGACGACATGTCGTCGGTATAGGTTTCCCTGTAACAAAACACCCTTTCAACTTTCTTTTTGCAGTCGGGCCAACACCATTTCTCTCTCAAGTTCGTCGGCGATCGCAAGGCTTTTTCAGCAATCGAGTTCATCGGCCACCATAAATTAAGGTAAGGGTTTTGGTCCTTGATTGCTTCTTAATTTGTAATAGCTTGGTCCTTGATTTGTAATAATTTGGAGCCCGAAATCACAGCCCCATTTCTCTATTGGCCGGCAAGAAGGTTCACCACCGCCATAGAAAAGGATTTCCGGTGATTGACCTATCTTCAATACCGCTACTACAAAAAGAGCAAAAAGACCCGGTTAAAAAGCCTAATTGAACCCGGTTTTGCATCCGGGTTTGTTGTGGCCGGGTTATATTTGAAAAGACATATAGAACCCGGTTTTCTACCGGGACATATTTGTAATATAAAACCCGGTTTCCATACATAGAACAGCGTCTTTTACCGAGCCAAATTCAATCTTCCACCAACATATTACCCGGTTCTATAATAATAAACAACCGGGTCCTTTACCCTTTTCCAAATTTTTTTAATACGCAATCAATAATCATTATTCCATTCATGTGGAACCCTAAGCAAGTAAGCATCCAAATGTTGTTAACATAAGATCAAATTAAATTTGCCAGCACACACACATGAAAGAGCAAGCAAATATTAGGTACATTCAAGATTAAAGAAATATTAAATTTAAATTGACTAGTTGCTCATAACAATAATAAAGTTCAAACAATAATGCAAATATAAGTTAACTAGTTAAGCAATTGTTGCAGCTGACAAAAAAAAAAAAAAAAAAAACTTCAACAGCATTGATGGTTCCAGTCAAAGTGAGTCTTCCAATCACAACGAGTCCAGCCTTCACCATTGTTCCTCTTGTTTTGCCATAACTAAACATTAAAGAAGAACCTGGTTAGAACATCATGTGCACATTAGGTGTTCTTAGTCTGGAACACATTGGTCAAGGTTAAACTAAAAGTTTGATGTTGTAAGTATTAAAAACTAACCAGATATGTCTTTCTACAAAACCACATCTTTCATATATTTGTTCAGGAATTGTGTTGCCCACTTAACAACAATTGAAAACAAGGTGGTTTCCGAAAAAGGAGTGGTGTCGTTCCAAGGGGTAGCAGTCTATATAAAAATATAAATTACAATTGTTATATAAAAAAAATAGAGTCTATTGTCATATACAAAATGATAAATATATTTAAGTGCTTACTCTACTCAAGAATCCGTGTTGTTCAACCATCACAAAATCCATCATCCATTTCATTACATAATATCCGCATTCCCAATCACCCGGTTGTTGGTTGCACTAAATTGTAATAACAAATATACACTAATCAAACAAGTGAAATACAAAATCTATATTTTTGGGTATAGTGACATGAATTATCTCAGCGACCGTCCAACTGATTGGATTTGATATGTATTTCCCATACCTTGCAAAAGCACTGAAAAATAAAAATTAGTGTTGTGATAAAAATAATAGAAAAGAATGTCAAGTTTATGAAATTTCTTACGTGTCAACATGTTTCTTCAGTAGGTAATAGGTATCCACAGGCTTTTGTACAGGACTCCTAATTGAATCCAATATGTACCCGGTGCCATTATGAGGGCAAATCACGAACAAGACCCAATGCTCACTTGTAATGTTTGAAGTATTAGTATAAACAATAAATATAGAGAAAGTTTAACAATGATTCTATATATCAACATAAAGTACCTTTGTAGATATGGAGCGATGAGTAATTGTTTTCCTTGATGAATTCGCATCGCATCAACAATGTAATTTATGACAGCTTCCGGGTTTTCTTGGCAGCTTGCCCCAAGAATCCTATGTGGGTTTAGGAAAGAAAATTTGTTCTTCACATCGTGCAATGGAATGTAGATTCCTAAAAATAAGACAAAATGTGTTACAATCATATAATATCTACAGACAACCTAGAAACAAAAGATTGGAGCAACTAACAATAATAAAGTTAAGTGTACTTACATCTCCCAAACGGTTAGAATGGTAACATCAAGTGTTCTTTTGTTCAACAAACGAAGAATTTCATCTTGTGCTACCCAAAACTCAAACTGGTCAATTTCTAGAATGCCATAATCAGCTACAACATGAATCAGTGGGTTGTTCTTCAATCGCTCACGTAGTAATTCAATTGACTTCGATTTGTTCATTGGAGTGAGTGTGTTCTTTCTCGTACAACCCCCTACACTGGTTTGTGGCAAACTTGGAATCGAATTTTGTTGCTTTCTTCCTTGAATCTATATCCACAAACCATTTTCATTAAACACATTGGAAATAAATTATGCATATACATAGTAACTAAAAAATCAAGGATAAAAAATATGTACCTCAGTCAGAATAATAGCATTTCGTGGCCATTGAATTATTTGGCCAACTGCATTTTGAAGATTACTGACTTCATCAGTCACTACGGGAATAGGAAGACTCTGAAAGTCTTTGTTGATTTGGTCTATTAACACTTTCATGTGATTTTCACGCAAAGGGAGTGAGTGTATTAACCCATCCCCATACGGAAAGACCAAGCCAGTAGCACAATTCTGATCCAGTGCCCCATATGGTAACACCAATTTACATTGAGTGGGGTTCTGCAAGCAGATTTTGTATATAAATAATTCAAATGTTAAATAACTAATTCAAAATTAAAATACAGTATCAAGATTAAAGCTCAGGCAAAGAGGTATACACAATTACCGTTATAGCAGCCAAGGTTGGCATTGAATGAGAACTACTATTCTGTACTCTCAGGCTCACATTGTCCACGACTTGCTTCCCAGAGTCATGTATCATTGCCTTTAACTCTGACACCTGTTTTGTAACGTCGGCGCGCAACTCATCCATAGATTCTTTGGCGTGCATTTTCCTCTTCTTTTTATCTATCCCGTGCATGGCTTTTCTCAAGCCAACAGTGTGACCAACTCCCCTAGTCCGACCGGGATGCTCTCTTCCTAACACTGCTGTCAACGAATCTTCTCCAGGTTCAGGGACCCAATCTCCTCGGGATATTTGACTTTCGACCTCTGCCTGTTAACATAAGCAATGCGATTATTAGAATAAAATCCAACATCAACATTTTATTGGAACAAAGATAGCTACTAGCTAGGCATTACCAGTATAAAACATTGATGTGCTTAAGTTGTTAGTTGAGAGATAGATAATTCCCATTGATCTAGAGTTCTATATTTGATGGTTAGTTTACTTTTATCTCACCATGATTTCTTAATGTACTGGAATTCAATTATTTCAATAGAAATGATAACAAAATTTAAAACGAATAATTATCTTACAAGCTTAGTCACTGTTGATTGCATGCCGGGTGGTGCATCATAATATGATCCAGACTCATTCTTAGATAGCCTACCCATGACAAAATCTTTTGAACGCTGGCTTTTTATCTTGCACAATTCTGATGCTAACTCTTCCGATAACCCTCCGGATGCAATCTCTTGTTCCCATTGAGCTTGTCTGCCCCGATACCCATGTGGACCTAACCGTGCTGGATTTTTTTGAAGCTTCGCATTTGCTCTCGCTTTCTCACTTATTACCTGCAAACAGAGGTAACACAATACAACATGGAAAGAATTAGATGAACTAAAGTCCAACAAACCTGGCATTCCTTTGAAGATCTCTCTTTTTTGAAGGTTTTCCATGTATCAGGGTCTAGATATGGGTAGATTGGAATTGGATCTCTTCCATTGGCCATGAAATCACGTATGAGCCTCTTCTTGTAGGATTTCCATGCAGTGTTGCAAATTTTAAGCACATCACCTCTGCGTTTATTATTTTGAATATTCCAGCGTCTCTGTTTATCTCAAAGTAAAGATTTTAAACGTTAATAACATATTTTGACTAAATGAAAACACATATAAAAGGTCTTAGATATCATACTTTAATAGTTAACCACAACATTTCAAGTTCACCCTGCGGCACTTTCTTCCATGTTCGATAATTGATAGAAATCATCGATCGTGTGAGGACTCCACACTCATTGGCGAACTTAATTTGTTTATCCCCATAATGTAGACCAAAATGATTGAAATCAATTTCTTGTGGCTCTTGACTGTCAATTAGTTGTGTGGCTATTCTCTTTTTTCTCTCTTGTGGTTGCGGTGGCTGTTGTGGTTGCTCATCCATTGTATACCTCAATAGTTTATTGGCTATCGCGGTGATGAAGCTAAGCATTAACATTGTTTGTGAGTATAACTTGGTGGTTTCTGAATTTTACAGGAGCTTCAAAACCGCATAATGGGGTCAAATGGCGGGATATCGAAAATTAATGGCGGTAATTTGATCCATTACACAACGTGGTTGAATGATGGTAGAAACCGATTTGTTTTAAAATAAATAATTAAGGTTAATTTGCATTATGGAAACAAAACTTTGGTTAATTATAACCTGTGATGGAAAATGGTAACATATAACTACATAAGGTTAATTTCCAATTAATATAATCTTGTTTTTAAATTCCTCATGGTTAATGTATAAGATTAATTTCGATTGGTATAAACTTGTTTTTTTTATTAATATTCATGTGATTATATACCCTTTTGCATAAAGTTAATATCAAATTTGACTAAATCAACAAAAAGATTTGTCAATTACGAATATTGTTTTTTTTTTCAATTCCAAACGTCCCCTTATAAAATATTATTTATTATTTTATGTCACATGTTTATATTTAAAAATTTTAATATAATGGAATACAATAACAATAATTTCTAGTTATAACTGTTATCGTGATTTTACTAAAAAATAATTTAAGAATATTCTACTTAGAGGTTAATAATGATTTTATTTTGTTGTTGAAGATGGTTTATTTGAATTTTAGTTTGAGCTTAAGAACAATCATATTTCATTAAAACATTTCAATACAAACCAAATTTAAAAGGGTTTTTTGGTCCTATATAATAAAACTGAAAAGCCTAACTAATTTCAAACTTCTCCAAACAAATCCAATAAGCAAACACAGCCTGTCAATCCTGTTATCTCGTAGTTGCTCGACCTGCAATAAAACAAACTATATTAATATGTTGATCATAATAGCAAATTTACATTGAATTTTGTTTGTTTCAAATCAAATAACTTGGTTGTTACCTTTTAAACGCATATTGTGTCATCATTCCCATAATCCTTCGTCGTGGTCAGATCTTAAGTAAGTGGTATCATCAACATTATCATTTGAAGAAGGGATACCAATGGAAAACGGAGGTAGCTCGTCAAAATGATCATAATCTTCTTCATCTGTGACATTATCAACACCAAGTATACGTCGTTTACCATGCAAGACGATGTGCCATCCCGAATCCTTTGGATCCTCGACAAAAAATACTTGGGTGGCTTGTTTAGCTAAAATGAATGGTTCGGATACATAGCCATTTGTTGAAAGGTCGACAATAGTGAAACCATCGTTGTCAACTTTAACACCTCGTTGGTTGTCGACCCATCTGCACTTGAACAAGGGTACAATGATGGAATCATATTTCAATTCCCAAATTTCTTGAATGACACCATAGTAAGAGTCTTTGGCGATCCTGCAACTTGCCTCATGATTAGCCCCACTAAATTCCATCGTAGAGGCTATTAACGTCACACCACTGTTTTGAAATGTACTTTTTCCATCTTGTCGATTGGTGTAAAATGTATAGCCGTTAATATCGTAGCCTTGGTACGTTGCCACAAGATGTTGCGGACCATTCCCTAATTGCACTACTACTTCATCCATACTTTCTTCGCAATAACTTGTTTTCACTTTATTTTTCAGCCATTTTGCAAAGGTTTTGTTATGCTCGATAGTCAACCATCTTTCACCCTTATTTCTATGCATCGTCTGTAGCACTCTTTTGTGCTCATTTATGTATGGAGCAATGACCGTCATGTGTTGTAACACTGTAAAATGTGCAAGCTGAAATTCCTCACGATCTGGGACAAGCCTTTTCAATCCAATTGTCCCGATCCCTACAAGTCTACCCGCGTGTCGAGCTCTCGGAATGCCAATATTCTTGACACCTTGAAGATAGTCTGTACAAAATTCAATCGCCTCCTCTGAAGCATATCCTTCAACAATACTACCTTCTGGTCGATGTTGGTTCCTTACATACCCTTTTAAGACACTCATATATCTCTCGAATGGATACATATATCGTAGGAAAACTGGACCACAAACCTTTATTTCATGTACAATATGAGATATCAGGTGAACCACTACATCAAAAAAAAAGAAGGTGGAAAGTACATATCGAGTTGGCATAAAGTCATTATAATATCATTTTGCCATGAATCCAACGCCTCAGGGTTAATAACTTGTGAATGAATCATGTTAAAAAATAGACAAAGCTTTGTGATCGTATGTCGAATACGGTCTGGAAGTATTCCACGAATTGCAATGGGAATCATATGTGTCAGTAAAACATGACAGTCATGGGATTTCATTCCAACCAATTTTAATTCATCCATCGACACCAACTTCTTAATGTTAGCAGAATAGCCAGACGAGACCTTCATATTATGCAAGCATTGGCAAAATTTCATTTTTTCATCCTTAGACATGGTATACATGCTGGAGGCAAATATGTACGCTTCCCAACATTCTCAATTGGAGCAAGCTCGGGTCTAATTCCCATTGCTAGCATGTCTCTTCGAACGTTAGCCCCATCCTTAGACTTCCATTTAAGGTTCAACAACAACCCTAACAAGCTTTCACAAACATTTTTCTCTATATGCATGATATCAAGACAATGTCGGACTTGTAAGTACTTCCGGTATGGTAAATCCCAAAATATAGACTTCTTTTTCCAAATATTTTTAGTAACAGATCTACTTTTACCTTTTACTTTTCCGAACACAATGTTTATATTTTCAAGTCGGGAAAATAAAACTTCTCCACCTAATGGTTTTCTTGCCTTTCTTTTCTCAATTCTACCATTAAAGACCGTTTTTTTCTTACGATACTGGTGATTATCTGTAAGAAATCTTCGATGACCCATGTATACAGTTTTCTTACAGTTTTTTAACCATAAAGAATCCGTGTCATTTTCACAAATAGGGCATGCCTTTTTCCCTTTTGTACTGTATCCTGATAAATTTCTGTATGCTGGAAAATCACTTATTGTGCAAAAAATATGGCCCTAAGTTGGAAATTATGCCCTTTATATGCATCATACACTTCGACGCCTGAATTCCATAATATTTTCATATCATCTATTAATGGAGCCAAATATACATCAATGTCATTTCCAGGTTGTTTTGGACCTTGAATTAGCAATGACATCATAATATATTTCCGCTTCATGCATAGCCAAGGTGGGAGATTATAGATGCAGAGAAGTACTGGCCATGTACTGTGACGACTGCTAAGGCTTCCAAATGGATTAATTCCGTCAGAACTAAGTCCAAATCGAATATTTCTAATCTCTCGACCAAATTCTTCAAAATTATTATTGATATTCCTCCACTGAGGAGAATCAGCCACATGTCTTATGTTCTCGTCTATGTTACGCTCAGCATGCCATCTCAACAATTTTGCATCTTTGGCATTTGCAAATAATCGTTTCAATCTTGGTATGATTGGAAAATACCATAATAATTTCGCAGGCGGACCATTTTTTGTCACTTTTACATTTTCTTCGATACGATCTTTCCGCTTATACCGTGAAGTACCGCATATAATACAGTTATCTAGGTCTGCATGCTGGTTCCTATATAACATACAATCATTTGGACATGCATGTATTCTTTCGACTTCCAATCCCATTGGACAAATCAGTTTTTTTGCTTGGTATAATGAAACTGGTAGCTCGTTATCTTCAGGAAGCATTTCATGCAAAATCTCTAGGAGACTGGTGAAGCTTGTATCACTCCAACCATGGGTTGCTTTTATGTTAAACAATTTCAACACAACTGAAAGTTTGGTAAATTTTGTACACCCATTATACAATGGTTTTTCCGATTCGTCAAACAATTGTTGAAATTTGTCATAATCTTTTCCAGCAACATTATCCTCACAATCATGTAACATATCAGATATATTATCATGATCGTTACTCCAATCATGATCACCATTCCAATCATTTCCGTCATTAATTTCTGAAAAACTTGTGTTCTGATCGACTAATGTCTCACCATGTCGTGACCAACACGTATAATTACTCATAAACCCACGAGTTATCAAATTTTCTTCTATTTTTTGTAGAGTCGGTATACATACGAATATTTTGACAATCAATACAAGGACACCATATGTAACTTTCTCCCTTTTTCACCCGATTTTCCTCAACAACTTTTAGAAAATCGCCTAAACATGCCATGTATCTAACGTCTGAACGTTTCATCCCGTACATCCAATAATTACGATCCATCTATAAATCATAATATATATATATATATATATATATATATATATATATATATATATATATATATATATATTAACAAAATGACTATATGAGACAAATTACTTAAAAAACAATCTTAAAATGAGGAATCTCAAAAATTAAACTCTATTAGATTAATTTTGGACAGGTATACATTGATATGTGCGTTTTGTTTGGTTCTTTTTATAGTTTCTTTTAGCAAATTTTATTTCATTTTTAATTAGTCATCATGCATATTCTTGTTTTATTTATTTTTATCATTTTTAATTATAGTTTATTGCATCTTACGCGGCCTGCGTTGTAACGTCCGGTTCCTGGTACGCATTTTTAATAAAGTTTATTTATTTTTATGAAGGGACTCGACGAGTTGGAGGCCCCAAACTCGTCGAGTAGGAATGGTTTTGGACGCGGGTGGCAGAGTCTACTCGACGAGTTGGGGAGCCCCGACTCGACGAGTAGGACTGCCATAGTGAAACCCTAATTTTCAAGTTTTGCACCTTATTTAAACACCTTAAATGGTATTCACTCTAGCCTCCATCACCTCCAAACCCTACTCACGAAACCCTAATCGATTTTCGAGTGTTCTGGAGCTATTTGTGCCATTCATTGTGTTTTGAAGCTTGAAGAAGGAAGGAAAGGCTTGGAGATTCAAGAAGAAAGTAGTAGATCCAGAGATTGTGTTGCATTTCCAGCTCATTTGAGGTATAAAGCATATACCTTGGCCTTTCATCACTTTGATCTTCTTTTTAGGCTTGCATGTTGTAACCTTTGGGCCATTTCTAGTCATTTTCGGGATTTGAGTGCATTTTAGAGTGATGA